TTAGTATAGTCCTTTAAATAATTAAGTAAAGCTCATTACTGAATTGGTTAACTTACATACCGAAAGAAAATGCCTTTTAATGACAGAAAAACTATTTTTAAGTTTGGTTTTAGTAAAATTCTCCTTATAATGTATTTAGAAATGTGAGCTAAAGTTTAGCTTGCATTTAAGTTGCTTCTTCTTTTCTTCCTTTTGTTTCATTTTATTTTCTCTAATATGTATACTAAGTGATCTTCAAACTTTATCCAAGAGTAAACAAAATTTGAAAAAACACATAAATAATGACCAGCCTAATATTTATCATTTGTTAGTGCTATTAGCTTGCACTCTAGTTATTTCTTCTTTTTTTCCCCCACTTTTAGAGCTTTTCTGGTTTTCGTTTTATTTAAATTTCTCTAGTAAGTATAAGGAGTGACCTCTAAATATTATTCAATTGTTCTAGAATTTCATAAACACTAGATTTTTGAAAAGCACTAACAAATATGCTATTAGGTTTATGTTCATTTATTAAGGTTGTCACTATTTGCGAGTATGTTCAAATTTTTGTTGCTATCCAACAGAAATGTTAGAATATACAGAAAACTATTGAGGTCTTTAACCAAACGGATAATTATTGGTTGTCACTCATTGTACATATTAAAAAAAAATAATAGAAGTGCAAGTTAACAGCAATAAAAAATCGAAAAAATAATTTAAAAAAAAATTACTACAGCAAATTTCTTCAATACTGATATAGTTTAAAGGAAAACGTATCTTTTTTTAATTATTACCTATGAAGTTACATTAAAACCTTAATGATGTTAATACACTACTCAATTATAGTGGAGCAGATGTTTTGACGGAGAATTTAGTGTTAAAAAAGCACTAATTAATACGAAATAAATATATGAAATAAAGATTTCTATTTTAGTATGAGTAATAATAGTCTTAATCCCATAATAGTATAAACTCCATATGAAGGTATTGCTTACAAAAAAACTAACAGCGATAATTTGCAGTGATTAAAAAAAAACAATTAATAAAAAAATGATTATAAAAACTACAAAAAAAAAAAAAAATACATAAATGCATCATTTCTCATATTGTTTCAGTTTTAATTCAATGGAAAAATGTGTTTAAAAATATGCGAAAAATGTTATGAGCATTTTTATGCGAAAAGAAAATTCATCAACGCATCCATTTTGATGGCCAAACACAGCGAAAAGCAACACAATTTGCAGTCAACACAAGCAACAACATTTGCTGTTTTAATCAGCAACAATACGAAAATTGCTGCTGTGACAACAGCAAAGCAAAGTGGTTAATAGGAATTAATTAGCAAGCAAACGCCTTATAGAGCGAGCTGCGTCCACTAAATGGCGTTGCGAAAGCAAGCGTTTGCCGCAACAAATGGGTTTTCAGCTGAGGCAGGCGGGAAGCAATTCTGCTGAGAATTGGTTGCAACTGTTCCAGTTGCAGAAATCAGTGCTTCAAGATGTAGAAATGCACAACAGTTCGATTTGTTAGTACTGCCTACTTAAAGCAATAAAAACTGAAATAACGCAGTTACTACCTTTTGCTTCCCATTAAGTTTCCAACTCCTTTGGAATCATTTTGCCATGGCTTGTTGCGTACAAACGTTTGCAGTTTCTTGGCAATTCCAAGTGCAATTCACAATTGAAAAGAGTCATTTGACAAATTTAACTTTCAAGGAAGTTGCCTTTCTTTGGAATGCCGTTAAAATTTCTTTTATTTATTTTTTTTTATTATTCGCATTTTTTTATGAATTTCAACAATTGAAATTCCCCGAAGTTTGCTTCATTTTGCAGTTTGGAAGAAATTTACTCACTAAGTAAGGTCTATGGAATTTAAGATTAGAATTAGAAATGTGTTGGAATTATTTATTTAGAGGGTTCAAAATTACAAATTAGCCCCTTATACGGTATAAAGTATTTAAAAACAAATAATACTTGTATGTAAAACAGGTGAGTTAGCAAAATTACTAAAATATTTCGGGAGCCTGCCTCATAGGCTGGACAGAGAATTGTCGGATATGAATAAAAAACTTGTATTATGAATTAAAGTATATATAATACGAATGAAGACAATTAGCTGAACAAAAATTTTAAGTTTTTACGAACTGTACTCAAGATATTTATAATAATATCTTATAATATTTATAATATTTTTCTATATTTTTAGAAACAAAATCATAAGCTACTGAGTCAATTTTGCACATAATCTTTATGTACTTTCACAGATCTTTCAGTCTTACGAGTCAACATAATGACAAGCTGTCAATAAAGTACTTCCCTTAAAACCTATTTCTACTGAAACCTAAAGCTGCACAATCACATAGAAAATGTCTACAGTAAGTTTTACTCCAGTTTCTTTGTTTGGGTTCATATATACCAGTGATCAGAGATAACTGCAGTAAATCTTGCTGTATTCACGTTTTATTGCTCATTCTAAAGTCAAAACCTAGATGAGAAGCGTGATGGACACAGCTCACTAATTTTCTCTCTCCAAAGTAAATATTAGAAAGTTCTTTTCAAGTTAAAGTATATTTTTGAATATACTTAAACTTGTATAGTCGAAGATTTGTTCAGTATATAGTTTTCTCTGAACTTTACATCTCCGTTATTATTTACAATGGACTCATTTGATTCTCTATATCTATATAATTAATAGAATTATTTGCCGATATCCATACATTTTGATAGTAAATATCCAGTATAAGTACAAGTAGTTATTGCATAAGTTTATTGCGAACATTTTTTTTATTATGTTATTATTTTTTCTTATACAAGCATAAAGTCTTTAAGCTGGAAATACTTTTGTCATATAATCTTTTTACACGAGGCTAATGCACTAAAATTATCTGATCATGAATTACAAGCTTGGCTTTGAAACGACAATTTAACCTAGTTTTTTTGGACTTAGCCACGACTAATAATACGCTTAAA